AAAAATTAAAGTTCTATAAAAGTATAAAATAAAAAATAAAGTAAGAGTGGTTTTTCACTAAATAAAAATATTTATTTTATTTATTTTAGTATTATAATAGATTAAAAAAATTTATAAAAAATTTATCAAATAACTTTTTGTTCTAAAAGTAAGTTTGTAAGAGATTTGTTCAAATGCCTTTTACTTCTTAAAAAAAAAGAGACTTCTACAATAGATTTTTTCAAAAAAAACCTTCATAAAAAATTTTAATCAAATCAATAAACTCTTATTTACATTAAGAAACCCTTTAAATTCTAATAATCAAATAAAAAATTTCAATCACACTGAACAAACTCTTATTTGTATTAAGAAATCCTTTAAAATCTGATCATCGAAGGAGTCATAACCGAATGGCTCTTCTCTTGTGGTGTGAGATCCGTAGGAAAGGACTCATTTTGCTTAGAGAAGAAGGTACCTTACTACTCAAATCGGCAGCCTTCAACTTAATCATGTGTTTAGGGAAGCGAACGCAGTTGCTGATGGGTTGGCTAAAAAGGTTGCAAAGTTGGACTCTTCTTTTGTTGTGCTTGATTAATGTCCTTCCTATATTTATAACTTACTTTTGTCGGATTGCATCGGGACTATATTTCCCAGGAATGTTGTATCTTTAAAAAAAAAATAATGATAAATTAATTAATAAAGGTGCCTTGCTTGCAAGATAGTTCATAGTTCGCTACCTATTTATTGAGGATGGACGTGTAAAGAAAAAGATTGCTGTGGTCTATCATATCTTTAAGCAGCTTGGGAAGAAAAGGCTCGTGGGCCATGGCAACTTAGAAAAGTAATGCCACCTCAACTTCAAAAGATAGTGGACGGCTATAACTAGAGACCACTTGGGACTTGCACCTGCTTAGAGGGTTAATTATTATTATTATTATTATTATTATTATTATTATTATTATTTTTTGAATATTGAAAAATTATGAGGAATAAAAGATTTTTTTATATGGTTAGTAAAAAGTAAATTTTTAATTAATTAAATTGAAATATTAAAATTTAAAAATAAATTATTA